ACCTAACTAAACGTAAAAACTTAAAATTAAATTAAAATTAAAAATTAAATTAAACTTAACTACTCTCTATTTCTACTACTAGTACGTTTGTTAGTATCTTCTATATATATATATATATATATATATATATATATTCAATCCACGGAAAAATTTTAGAGTAGGATACTTGGACACTCAAAGTTAAAGGTAGTTTATCTCTTATTCTAATTCAATCTTTATCTCTTTTAATTAGAAATTTAGTAAAAATATAAATAAATAAATCTTAATAAATACCATATCTTTATGTAGTCTCTTGTATGCACATTGCATTAATAGAGATTATCTCATATTTTGAATATTATTATCTCCATTCGAAACAGGTTTCTAATCCCCAGACTTTAGTAATTAAATATTTGGAAAGTGCCGTTTTAGAATATTATATTCACCCTTTTCTTCTAGAGAGAGAAACAAAGAGACCATGATACTGTTAATATTGCAAAGTATTTATTTGAATTAGAGATACATGACTGGATGCCTCCTTACAATGTAGAGGTCAGGTGCAACATAAAATTGACTTAGAGATATCATTTCAGCGTCGAAATCTTATCATGGCTTCAAAATCTCTTTTTACACTCACTTAGAAAATTTAAAATTTAAAAAATAATACGAGCGGGTAAATAAATACTTAAAAATCTTGAAAACAGACCGTCTAAATGATTTTTTACCGGATGTACTATTTTTTGAACTTAAAAATCTTTTTTTTCTTCATGTCCATTCATGTCAAAGTTTAGATGATCAGTTGGAGGGTTATCCTATGTGGAGAGTTGGGAACACTCTCCACTGTAGGATTTTTGAGATGCACCTTTCTTCAACAGCATAGGGTTGCAACCTTATACAAACTTTTTCCATATTTAAAAAATGTTTTGATAAAAATAAAATGACTTAAATGACCATTAAACTTTTAGGGAAATTTTGGTCTTTTTATTTTATAGGGAATATTTGTTTTATATTTTTTTGCATGTGCAAGTTTAAGTGAGGAGTGGATGCCCAAATTTTGGTGGCAAAATATTTTTTAGAAAACAATTAAAAATAAAATAGTATAAAGATGTGATATTGTGATTGGGATCATCTCAGTCGCCCATTCAGAATGAACTGTTGGATAGGGGGAAGTATATAAGTTTTATACATTAGGCGAAGAATAGAAGGCCTGCTCATAACTATACATTAGGCGAAGTATAAAGGCGGCACTAGTCAGCGGCACTAGACATTGTAGCATAAGAACTAAGTTTTTAAACGTTTAATGGAAGGAAAAAAATTATATAAGGTCGCAACCTTAAAATTTAGAATTACACATGCACATCAAAAATCCATCCAAAAAGGTTGTTTTAATGTTGAAAAAACCTCTAATTGATCATCTCGACATTGAGATATATAAATATGAAAAAAAAAAAATTAAAAATTAAATCCTAGAAATAGTACATCTTGCAATATATTATCTAGAGTGTCCATTTTCAAGATGTTTATAGAACTACTAGATTTTAACCATTTTTGGAGTTGAAAATTTTATAATTAGATGTGAAAATAGATTTTGAGATAATCCTAAGAATTTTCACCAAAATTACACACCTAATATAAAATTATAATTGAAAGGAAAAGTATACAAAAGTTTGTTTACTTTAGAGATTGTCTATGAGACCATTTATATTTTCTACAATTGTCCCTTAAATTTCGAATTGGATGGTTGTAAGAGTATTAATTGAATAGACATAAATATCCAAAAAAAAAAAAACATTCACGGATTTCAGGACTCACCCGAAACCATCCAAGTTGACATCTAACGCATGAAAATAATTGTGACCTCGTACAAAAAAATAAAAGTCTCGATATATTTGGCTTATGAAGGGTATTTATTATCCATAGCCGATGAATGATACGTGACACACTACAGGTCACACCGTCAATGTTTGTTGGCAACAGAAAGTGAAGAGATCAAGCGTAACTGCCCAGTAAACTTAATTATAACAACATAATTAGAACGAACTCTCGCAAAACAAATACAAAGAAATCAAGAAATATGCACAAGCACCTCCGCCTTTCCGACTCCTTGTTTCGCTAAATCATCAACCTCCATATTTAATTCCCAATAAACATATGAAAAAGAAGCGTTAATCCTCTCACAGTAGTAAAAAAAAATAGATCTCAGAGTTACCCAAAAAAAAACAATCAAATTTTAGAGAGAGAAAATGGTTTCCATAAAAGTAGATGCTTGCATGACAAAGAAAACTGCCTTCCATAAACAGAGTGCACAAAGGAAGATTCCTAGTAATAAAGGAGTATTAGCTAGAGAAAGAAAGAGATAATAGTTACAAATGGATGAGAGAGAGAGAGAGGTGATACAAAAGAAGGAAACCAACATACAAATAGTATACATAAGAGCCATGATCAGTGACAAGTAAAACAAAAAGCAGCACAGATTCATATTAAATTTTGAGAGAGAGAGAGGTGATAGGTTTTCACATGATGTGTGAGAAAGAGAGAGAAATGAAAGGTTTTCACATGGATGTGTGTGTGTTTGTGGGAGAGGGAGAGATGAAAGGTTTTCACATGAATGAGAGAGATGAAAGGTTTCCCTATGAGAGAGAAGGAAACCAGCATATACATAGAAGATCAGAGAAAGAGGGAGTTGAGAGAGAAAAGGAAACCAACATACAATCTGTGTATGTGTGAGAGAGAAAGAGAGAGAGAGAAACCATGATACAAATAGGAGATTAAAGAACCATGTTCACTGAGAACCATGATACAAATAGGAGATTAAAGAGCCATGTTCAGTGAGAGAAGTAGAGAGAGAGAGAGAGAGAGAGAGAGAGAGAAGGAAAACCATGATACAAATAGCAGACTAGAGAGCCATGTTTAGTGTGAAGTAATGCCAAGAAAGGAAGAGCTCAAATTCCAATTATTTTGGTGCATAAATGGAATTAAGATGTATCAGGGCATTTCTGTCATTTTAGAAATCACTAAGGCTAGTTTTGTCACTTATTTTGATATAGATTTCAGGTAAAATTCCTCAAATCCGCCAGAAATTCCCATATTTTGCAGAGCGCTGATTTTAGTGTGAGAAATGTCGAGTGAGGAGAGAGAGAGAGAGAGAGAGAGAGAGAGAGATAGGAGAGATAAAGTTCAGGCCTTTTTTAAAGGGGAAAGAAGCCAAGGCTTTTCCTAGAGAGAGAAAATCCATTTCTAGAGCTATGGATGCATGGGCCCTCAACCTGAAGGGATTTAATGGAGGCGGCTTGTGCACTGCCAGATCATACCCTCTGGTTCATGCGAGCTCCAAAATTGAGAAGCCAAACTTTTGTAATTTTGGAAAGAATGGGTTTGGGGGGAGTGAGGAAAGCGGGTTTCATGGTGGATTCTCGGAAATTAGGGCTATTCCATTGAGGAGTAAGCAGAGGAAGAGTATTAAGATGGAGAGACGATCGTCTTCTCTTGGTAAGCCATTTATAATTCGCAAGGATTCTGTTGTTCGTTTGATTTTTCTCTTTCTCTCTCTAGCTTGAGGCGTAATATAGTTTCTGATTTGGGTTTTTAATGTCAATGAGCTGGGGTTTCTCCTATTCCTTATATATCTATCTGAATTTTAGTATAATTTTAACCATTGGATTTGTGAATTTAACTCAAACCAGTGTGGAGTTATTGGTTTAATTCCAAATTCAATTCTTAAAATTACCTACAGAAAAAAAAAAAATTCGATTTTGGAAATTTAGTTTTAATTAGATCTGTGTGGTGATTGGGTTATTTAAGTTGTTGGTTAGCAAGTGGTCATTCTTTATCTAATGCATTACCTTTTCATTACACTGCTAGACCTTTAACAAAAAATATGATTTTTTTGGGGTTCGATCACATATTTGCATTTGATTCTGGTTTGTCTGAAACGCATGGATAATTTTTTTCTGGTAAATAAATGTATAGGACAAATATAGTTGGTAAATATCTGTTTCAATAGTAATTTTTCAAAAAAAAGTATTTGTTTGAATGGTATAATGAAAATACTTAATGGGTTCTGATTGAAGGGAAATTGGCATGATTTATAATTATTTATTTTGTTTGCTGTAAAATGGCATGATTGTATATTTATCGACATGAGTAGGGCACTGAGATTTTTCTAATCCATAAGAAGCATTTGTTTGATTACTCTTGTAGGGAAACTAAAGGTGTTTTTAGGTTTCATTTGAAAAAGAATTCATCATAACTAATTTGGAAGTTTTTTAGATAAAGTTAATTTATTTTTGGGACATGGAACAGATTATTGATCATCATTGTACATTGAATTGTATAGAAATGATCACGCCTCCATGGGAGCATGAAGGAGTGTCAATGCTCCTCTCTCTCTCCCCCTCCTGTAATAGAGAGCCTCTCTCTTATCTCTAAAGCAGGAACTGAAGTTCAGCAGACCCCCTAACTCTATATTAAGATACAAGAAAAAGTTACACTCATGTGCAATATTTGTCTCATTTTATGTGTATGTGGTTAATGTTGTTGGAAAAGCTATATGTTGAATCTGTCATTACTTTGATGAGATAAGTCTTTATTTGCTTCTTTTTAATGTTGGTCTTTGGAGGTACTAAGTGTTTCATCTAGATCAGCAAGAGAACAATTGATGGGTGTAGCTCTAAATGGAAAACACCATGGAGTATATTGTCATAGATGGTGGTGGTCCTGTTGGTAAGGTTGTCGGTTGAGTATAGAAAGTGGTAGAAAGTTGGTTCAGTTACTTAGGCTATTTGTAAGCTCCGGTTATTTCATTGGGTCTTAGGTTGCAAGCCCTAGAGTTGACTGGAGCAGCTCTCCAAGATGTTGAGCCACAAGGTCGCATTGGAACTGGAAATATTTTATAGTTTGCTTGAGAAGTTAGGATAATGAATACATCACTGCAGACACAATGTGGTTTTTCTCATCGAGGAAGTGTCCAGTCTCAACATAATGTTGATGATTCCTCGTAGCATGGGTTGCCCATGTTAATGCATGTGGTGGATGGGATTAATGTGAGTTTGGTCAAGGTCCCTTCAAATTCAGGTAAAGAGCTGGTTTACTGTTCTTGCAAAGAGTTGTTTAAAAAGGGATGTGCTAACTTACTTCCATAGATTTATTCAGCTAATGAAACTTCATATTCTTGAAAGGAGAACCAGTTTTTCCTGGCCTTAGGCCTCGAAATAGTGGGGATCCATGTCAAAAGGGAGAACTATTGGTAAATGTATATTTTGAGGATGGATACTGACTCATGGGCGAGGGTAGCATTGGCATCTTGCTAGAGACTGGGACAGAGGGAGGGTAGCTCTTAATACAGGGAATATGACCTGGGGCTGGTAGTCAGTTATTATAAGTTCATAATTGGTTTTCTCTTCGTTTGTATCTCTTGTTCTTTTATGAATAACAGCAATGTTTCAACTTTATGTTGAGCATTCCTTAATTATTCATTGTATATAGTTCATTCTTTTTCTGATGGTTTCCTCTTTTCAATTTTCCTTTGTCATTGTTGCATGTATTTGGCATTGAGAGATGTGGTTTACTGTTGACTCTCTCCCTCTCATATAATATTGTTCCTTTGTCGATAATCTATAGACTCTAATTTGTAACCTTGTAATAATTTGTATTCTCTACTTTCTAAGGTTTCTATGTACTGTTGTTGTTTTAGGAAGTAGCGGTCGGTCTATTCCTGAGGAGGATGGGCAAGAGGGAAGCAAAGATGACTCTGGCAAAACTCAACCTGACGACTGGCGAACCTTCCGAGCAAACCTTGTTGCTCGTGAACAGGTATTTTCAGTTTGGGAAATCTCTATGATGCCATTAGTTTTGGAAAATAAAACCTGGATGCGTGTTGTTTCATAAAATTGACAAAACTATCATTTGTTTAATTATAATAATAATAATAAAAAGACAAAACTATTATTGCTCTTGGAAAATGATCAAGATACCTATTAATTCAGGACAGAGAGAATGGTCCCACAATAGTGGGATAGGGTGTTGAGATTGGGTATATGGAAATTGGAATAATCGTGTTATGGATTTAGATGGGTTTGGTTTTAGGAAACTTAAGGTCGTTAGGCATGGTTTAGGATGTAATAGGGTTGGCAAATGATGTGAATCTTTTCCTTTGGTTGAAACATGTAGGGATGAAAATTAGGTATTGTAAAGAACTAGGTTTAGAATATATGGGGTTTGGCTTGCATGCTCTAGTCTAAGTTTTGTGGAAGGACTTAAAACTTGTATCTAAATTTTAAAACCCAAGGGACTCACACCAGGGCGTCCTCTTTTTGCTAGCTTTAGAACTCCTCTTCCATTTAACATGGTTCTTATTTCTATATTATCAGGATTGCCTTTGATGTTTTTGTAAAAGTTCACATTATTGTAGTAGTTCTCTAAGATCCTCAGGCAAGTTTTGATTATTTTGAATATCATGGGTACAATTAATTCTGGTGTAGAAATTGGGGAGATTTTGAGAGGCGTTCAGGAACCTGCTTTTGAATGTAGAAATAAGATGCCAAGTACATATGTGCTCATGTGTTAACTGTTTCGCCAATTTGGTAAACTTGAATCTTGTATTTTCTACACTCGCATGTGAAGTGTGGCAGCAGCACAAGGGCTTCTTAGGTGGTCACTCATCCTCTCAATGTTCTTAGTCGCAGCAGCACAGAGGCTTCTTAGGTGGTCATTCATTCTCTTAACTTTGTCAAAACATGCATAACATCAAAAGTTTTTCTAAGGTTTGGTTCACTTGTCTGATGAATACAAAACACACACATCCATTCATGTACATGCATCCCGTGTGAATTCATCTATTTAATCTCTCTCTCTCTCTATATATATATCTATCTGTTATCTTTCTATAAACATATGTTTGTACATTCCTGCATACATGTATACATACACACATATATGCATGCATGTGTGAATGTAGTGATAGATATGTAGAAACCCATGCACAAACATGCATCTCTCTCTCTACACACACACAGATACTCAGGTTTATATTTATGTGTGCTCATGTAAGAATGGTGCGCCTTTTGATTAATTCCAAAAGATGCATCAAAAGCCCTACGAACCCGGGATCTTTGCTTTCTAGAGCCCCAATCGGATACCATTATCACTAATATCCACCCCCTTTTGGCTTGTTCCTCCCAAGATCCCAGCTGAGGAAGCAGGTCCCTCGAAGCCACTCGGCTCAAAGTGGGCCCACCCGATCCCTTCCCCCGAGCCAGGGTGTGTGCTTGTGGCTACAGAGAAGCTTGATGGGGCCCGCAGCTTCGAGCGAGCTGTTGTCCTCCTCCTCCGTGTGGGGTCCCCCTCAGACCCCCGAGAGGGCCCTTTTGGCGTCGTGATAAACCGACCTCTTCGGAAAACCATCAAAGACATGAAACCCTCAAACCCTGACTTGGCCACGACTTTCTCTGATTGCTCTCTCCACTTTGGTGGGCCGCTCGAGGCGAGCATGTTCTTAGCAACAGGTGGCGAGCACCTATTGGCTGCCGGGTTCGAGCGGGTCATCCCTGGGCTGTGGTATGGGGCTCGGCATAACCTCAAAAAGGCGGCTGATTTGGTAAGGAGAGGGGTGCTTGATGCAAAGGATTTTAGGTTTTTTTTGGGGTATTCTGGTTGGCAATTTGAGCAATTGAAGGAGGAGATAGAGTTGGACTATTGGCATGTGGCGGCTTGTAGCTCAAATTTGGTAACGGGCACATCGGATTCTCTGTTTGGATTATGGGAGGAGATATTGCAGCTAATGGGGGGCCAATATTCAGAGCTGAGCAGGAAGCCTAAGAAGGATAATACATGAATGAAGCCATTGGAGTGGTGATGCATCTTCTTTGGTTTTCTACGGTGGGAGCCTTCTTTTGTGCAAGACAAGCTGGCCAGCGATTGCTCTCCCATCTTTGTACTGGTTCCTGGCAATTGGAATTTCAAGTTGTGATTTGTTAGGAAAGAGGCAACTACGTTATTGAGATAATGTACAGGCTTATGCTCTCTCTTGCTTAATTCAGTTGTGGCTTATGGACTTCTTATTAGTTGCTTGTGTTCCTAAAAGTAAATAAAGTGACTTATTTGAGGAATATCGGAGGACTTTACATTATATACGTAGAGTCTTAATGGAATAAGAAACTATCACCTGATTTTTGGAGTCATGTACTCCCTCTCCTCTCCCTGTCTCTCTTTCTCTCGCTCTCACCCCTATTTCATTAGTGCTAATGGATTCCTTATCAGTGGTGGTTTCTCTAAAGGTTAACAAAGTGAATTGAAATACGTTGGTATCCTTATGGTTGTTATTAGGTGCTGCTTCAGGGTACGATTGTTTCGCGTGAAAATATTTTTACATGAAAGACTTTCCTTCTTTATGTGGTTAGGTGTTGAAATATTTTCACATTAATTAGTCTTATTGCTTAATGTGAAAATATTTTCACAACTTAACTACATGAGAGAATTTTTTTACATGAAAATATTTTTTGATAAATATTTTCACACGAACCAAACATGCCCTTAGTGAGGTTTAATTGCCAAAAAAAAAGAGAAATTAACACAAGGTTGTCGAGATTATATCTCTCACACACGTGCATGCCCACGCATATGCACACGCGCGCACAAATTGATGGATATTTGAAGTTAAAGAGGGTTTCACTTGTTATTGATACTATTTAGTGGAATTTTTACATGTGAAAAGAGGAGATTATCACACTTTGATGTGATGTTATCAATGGGATTGCTACTGTTTTCTTATGTATTTTAAGCGATTGCCTCCCTAAAGCACTGAAAAGAGTCAACAAGAACAATCAATATTAGAAATAAGAGTCCACAAGCGTTCGATGAGTAGTTACTATTTCAGTACTTATCCAAGATTTCCATAAGCAAAATAGGAAGTACCTAATGATTACACTTTGTTGCCATTTCAAATACTATATTTGGATCCTTTTAACTCTCAATTTTTCAAATGGTTTATTTGGATCCTTTAACTCTCAATTTTCTTTTTTGTTAGACATTTTCATAGAGGTATGGGGTTGTAGGGCGAGATGTTTGTTTAATTTATTATTTTAGTGTTACTATTTTGTCCAAATGTTTGGCATTTTGAAATGGATTGTAGAGGATTAGATATTACCTTTCATACATAAAAATCACAATCACTTCAAGCCATCATATGTGAAATAGGACCCAACCACCTCAAGCCATCATATGTGAAACAGGATACAATCACCATCAGATGTAAATCAAGACAGCTGTGCATTATAACATTTCTTTGTATAAAGTCTGAGTAAATTTTTTTTTTATCTGAAATAAATATTATCCCCTGTAGAATGTTTTCATATCTAGCAGTTAAGAGTGCTTGTGATCTTCTAAAACAACTCAAAATAAACATATTTTCTTTTTTACAAAAAAATCTTGACTACCACTGTCTCCTCCTGCTCCTGAGTTGTGCACTGGTCATCATATTTTGGTTTCATGCACAACAATGCTGGTGAAACTTGCCATAATCAACTGCCAATTTAAACTTACTACGTTGTTAATGACATGTAAATGGAGGCAACCTTCATAACTTAAATCCTGCAAATAAAAAAGCTAGCATTAAAAGGAGTCACTTAAAGTGAGCAGTACTTTCAATTCAGCTCTCTGTTGTTTGATTTTGATTAGACACTCAAGAGTACGCATTGCTATTTGAATTTAATGTCTTTTTTACATATCATGTTGAGCTAAAATTTGAGGTTGTGCATGTCAGGCACAACTAAAAGAATATATATCAAAAAATTTAAAATAAAAGAGTAATAAATTTTTTTATTATTTTGGTCATTTTATTTTGGAAAAATTTATATAAGATTGCAACCTTAAATTGTAGAATTACTTATGCACCTCAAAACTCCATTGGAAAAGATTGTTTTAGTGTTGAAAATCGCTCTAATTGATCATCTCAACATTGAGATATATGGATATGAAAAAAAAAAAGATTTTGAGTCCTAAAAATAGTATATCTTGTAACACATTATCTAGACCGTCCATTTTCAAGATTTTCATATGTTTATAGATGTACTTGATTAACCACTTTTGAAGTTTGAAATTTTATAATTACATATGAAAATAAATTTGAAGATAATCCAAAGAAATTTTACACCAAATTTATATATTATGATAAAATTTAGATGTACGCCTTAATTGGATTGTTTAAAGTTGCAACCTTATAAAAACCACACCCTTTTATTTTTCATAAATACTTTCTTAATTATTCTGTTGTGCAGTGGTTATTACGTTCAATATTCTAGCTCAAATTGATTTGGAAAAAAACTAAAAACTAAAGTTTCAATCGACAAAGGTACAATCAGTCGATCATAATCGGACGCCTGGGAGCATAACTGAGATAACTATACGTTTTAGGTGACAACCTAATTATAGACACAAACGTGTGCGCCCGGTTTCTTTGCGTCCAAGCTGGCATATTAAATTTTTTTTTGAGAAGGATTTATGCACGTAATTTTTAAGGACTTGTAATATTTGGAGATTATAAAAAAAGAAAAAACTTGGGTGAGCCCACTAGCTCATGGAATAGTATAAACCCAATAATCTGATAAACACGGATGAGCTAGTATATGAAAGATGTTAGGGTGAGCCTATTAGTTCACAGGAAAAAATGAGCCCAACAGCTCAGATTGAATCTGAACCAATCTGATGATCACAGATGTCTAGTAGTGTTTGAATTTTAAATTTTTTTTTCTATAAATTCAAATCACTTGAAATTTGGAACGTATGTATACAAAAATAAGTGAATCTGCAAAAAATATCAAAAAAAATATTTTACATGAAGTAAATTGATCAAAATACCCCTCAAAAAGTTTTAAAAGGTATTTTAATCAATTATTTTTTTTGAATTATTTTTTTATATTTTTATTAACCGCGGCTTGATGAGAAGAACACACGCTTAAAATTTCAAATTATTTGAATTTGTAAAAAAAAAAAATTAAAATTCAAACATTACTAGATATCTGTATTCGTCAGATCAGATAAATCTGGACCATCGGACTTACATCATTCCATAAGCTATTGGGCTCACCCAAGCTTTTTCCTATATATATACATATATATATATATATATATAAAGAGAGAGAGAGTACATCAAAAAAATAGAACCTGTGCTCTTTGGGAGCCCCAGTAGGTTAAATTTCTTTACACGAATGAACTTATTCCCCTCGTTAGAATGAGAGAGAGAGAGAGAAGGGGGGTTATATGAGAATAGAAAATGAATTTTGTATTTTTTAAGGAACCCCTAACGATTACATGAATGAATAAATTTACCTCGTTAGCATAACATAAAAGACCGAACCTGGAATAGACAATAGATTCATACAATTTGGGAGAGATGGCTTTGCCATACATCAATGTCATTTTAAATTTGCAGAAATAAAAAAACCATCACTTCTTGTACCATTTCCAGACCCGTTCAACAATTTTTGCAGATGCCCAACCTGCTGCTACAACAACCTCCGAAATGTCCGATGCCGATAAATTTATGAAAGAAAATCACCGCTCGTAACCACCAATGGCCAATTCTACCAACTTCTATAGAGAAATAACATGCTTTTGCTAATCCACAATGTATAATCCTTTAGGCTGATTCCTTCTGAGGCTTTGGAGAATGCAACTTCCTATAAGCAATTACCTCTTAAAGGAATTGCCTAAGGTCTCCAATTTTCAAATTTGCACCAGACTTGGTGAAGAATTTTTAGCAACCCATGTTCCCAAAATGCATTATGCACCATAGATAATTTTGGACCAATTCAGACCAGACCATAAACAAAACTGAAGAACCCGAGATCACCATGTCCTAACCTCATCTACAGTCTGATAAGAATTCACCTGAACTCACAAAGTCCAGAACTAATGTCCTCTCACATGCATCTTTCAACTCTGATTCTCAAAATTTCAATGCTCAACTGTGATTCTTTCTCTAAATTTCATTTCTTATGTTTCCCCAAATTGTGGGTCTTTTCACTCCAAATTTCTATCTCGTGCACTTTGAGCTTTTTGTGTATCATTGTTAATTCTTTCAATAATCTGAGCTACCATTCCTTCCAGGAAAAAGTAGAGCTTCGAGCTGAGTCATCTCTCCCTGATGCTTCTTGGTCTTGACCTTGTCAAGCCGGGCTTTACGCACAGCATGCTGAATTTGCCTTTCATGCTCTTTGAGCAGATCATCTATGTTACCAGATGGAGGTAGGAGAGGTCCCGAGTAATGGATCCTATTCTTCTTGGGGGCATAACCCTGCCACCATTAAAGTTGCATGTTAGAGAAAGAGAGAGAGCATGTTTCAATTGAAAAATTTATCAAAAACATGGAAATAAAATTTGAATTATTTATCTTGACATTTCGGAATATTAACATTTCAAAGTTTTGTTAAGACAACATATCACTACTTGCAAAGTCATCTGTAAATTCTGAATACCAGCACCATAAAAACCCTAGATGTGTGAGTTAAAAATCTGAAATTTATGGTAAGGAGCATCAACCTTTCTAATGCTTTTCAAGTTTCAGGTTCAAAAGCTCTCTTTCGAGTTCAATAATTCAAAACCTAGAGCTCATGCAAATAAATGGGTTTTAAGATTTAGGGTTTAATTAATTAGTTTTGGCATTGGCACAAAGTTCACATGTTCATGTGCTACAAATATTTGAAGTTTGGGACTGATACGAAGTCTAGTATTTTAAAATCCCATGTAACATGGACCAGTTTATTAATTCAAAAGCTAGGGCCTGTGGCATTAATTGAGGTCTAAGATTCAGGTTTTAATGTTACTTTTAGCACCACCAGATGTTCCGAATTTTCAAATCTAAAAAAATGAGGGCAACAGAACAAAATTCAAGGTTTAAAAACCAATATACAAGGACTGGAGTATAATGTTTGTCGTTAAATTTTGGGGACAATATGCAAAACCATGTTACAAAAACCAGTTCAATGATTCAGCGTGATCATACAGGCTATTAGGTTAGGGGTTGAATGATTCAGTTTTAACAACACTCAGATGTTTCACATGTTTATATGTTTATGTCAGATAGTCCAAGTGACCAGTACAAGTTCAAGGTTTTAGAGATCCAACACAAGTTTGATTAGATAAGGCACATTACATTTTAAGGGTTTTTAATATTAAGGGTTGCACATGTAAACTTTAGCAATATCCACGTGTCGCACTTCTTATTACAAGCCTAAATATCTTAGAAACTCAAGCTACAATGACAAAATTCATGGTCTAAAATCCAATGTAAAAGAAGCACTGTTATTTATTTCTTTTTATCTTTTTGTCCGAGTAAAGGAACCAACTTCTTCCTTCTTCAGTAGTATAAAGTGCTTGTTTGACAATTCAGAACCTAGTGGTGATGACAACCTTTCTTGATATTCAAACAATACATGGGTTCATTATATATTACATCGCATTTCAAATCTTAGCTTTCAATGTTTCAGTGTTTGTACTACTAGTACATTTGACCTGTTTGTATAACTAACTTCTTAAAGGTTCCAGACCCCAGTAACCACCAGCTTTTTGCACTTACAAGGATCTATTTTATAAATGTCTTCACACACACGTGCACACACACAAAAATAGTTGGAATAAGGTTTGGAAGGATGATGGTGATGTCTTCACACACACACACATAGTTGGGATAAGGCTCAGATGATGATGACTTCACACACGCATACAGCCATGTGATAACTTCGACATCATTAGACCAAAGCCCAAAAACACTTTCAAAAAAATAAAATTACATCATTAGACCACAGCCCAAAAACACTTCTTAAAAAAAAATACTATTGGGGAATTTGCTTAATCCCAAAATGTACACAATCGAATCACGCCTGGTGAACAAGCTTGTGAAAAATAATTGAAAACAAAAAAGAAAAGAAAATGGTTTCTTTTAAAGGAGAGGGAAAATGCAGTGAATACATGCCATCCATTTCAACAGGAAAAAATGGTGTTATATTGAGGCCTTAGGGGGATTTGTTTGACAATACATTTTGTAGATGGCCTCATTATAACCAAATGCACAATTTCAATAAAGCAAAAAGAAAAAACAAAATGATTTTGAGTTTTTAAACTCCTAGATCAAAAATGAAAGGTCAACATTCCATCAGATTATATATGTTCCCCAAAATGATATATAATAATTATTAAAAAAAATGGCATCCACGGTAAATCCACTATAAAAACACCAAAAAACATAAAATAGAATGAAAAGAGGGGTTCTAATCTTACGCTTGGCATGTCCTTATTGCCCATCCTCTCGTCCTTCTTAGAGGTGGTCGGCTGGTCCAGCAAATGGTGAGTCCACTCTGACTTGTCTGATGGCCCGTCAATCTCCAATTGGTTCAACTTCCTATGCTCAGGCCAATGCTGATTCGTGGTCCTCTCTCGATGATTATCTGACTTTGCAGTCTTTCTCCTTCCCATAAAGACCGACATATTGCTCACTGGCTGCGGCATATAAGACCTCTGGGTCCTCAAATTGGGATCTCGAGCCCCACCCCCTTCTCTATTAGGGGCCAATCTAACCTCCTCTTCTTTTGGTTTCTTGCTCCAAGAAGACCCATAGGCATTGGGGTGCATCAATGAACCTGAGTGAGAGAACCCATTTTGGGCAGTCCCTCCTGCAGGCCCTCCTGGTGGCTCCATAAGGAAGCCAGACCCCACGTCGTCAGCTTGAGGATTGTACTTCTCGCTGCTGCTTTTAGGTTTGGAATTAGCCTGTCTCTTCTGCATTAGAAATGTGACACATTCATGGTTACTATTTCATTCATGATTCCAAGTACATTCATGGTTTATTTCGCAAAAGTATATGGGTTTACCACCTTCTCCATACATGGTGAACTTAGTCGTCATTTAACACCTGGAATTTACAACCTTCTCCATATATGGTGGACCTTTTCATCATTTACCAATATTGATTGGCCTTTGCAGATTATTATACTTTTGGTAATTTGTCATGACATTTTTTAAAATAACACATAAAGCACAGGCATGTGCATTTGGATGCCACATTTAATGTCCACAAGAGAGGAAAAAAATGTTGTCGACGTAATAGATACCTGTACAGAGGAAGGTAGTTCAGCATTGGCATCTGGTGCTGGAACTGCTCTTGATTCTCTTGAAGCCTTGCTCACAGAGTCAGCTTTTTCTCCAGCTGCCCTTTGCCTGACAAAAATATTAGACAATTGTCATTTTTTTATAAAACATATCTATACAACTATGATTAATTGCTTCAAGGAGGAAACTCCAAGTCCAACCTGAGAAATGGTACAATAGAAGTAGAGCAAGTATATTATAATCTTACGGACTATGAAAAGACTAAATCCATTTGTCTGTAACCTTATGGACTATGAATTGACTAAAATCCATTTGTCTGTAACCTCCATTTACATGATGGACAGTGATGGAGAGAAAGTGGGACCCTAATTATTGGGTCATGTCCTGTTCTGGTGGTCCCACTCCCTTTCGACAAACAATAATAACACAATGGACTGTGGTTTCCCAGAGTCCACTGTACCATACACTTGCTCATAAAGGTAATGATTGAAACACAAAACATAGTTAAAGTGTCAGTCTCAATATATCTAATCAGTTTACTTCTGTATAACAAGGTGTATTTGTTTTTGGGTTTAGATTTACTTCTGTAAAACATAGCAGGTTTGCATGAGATTGGTGTGAACTCTAGACTTGCTTCATTGTTTTCATGCCACTAGCAAAATTTTAAATAATAAACACTTGTTTTATTGCATTTGCATGGATACAAAGGGACAGAAATTAAATTAACTTACCTTCTAGCCTCCTCATCCCGAAGCTTAGCATCGAACTCCTTACTTGGTGGATACTTGGGCAAGCTCGAAGGATCACAAGCAAATGGCTTGGTTGTAAAAAACTGAAAACGGCCACAGCCCACCGAAAATAAGGATCTCAAACCTTAGTGGTTATAAGAAGAAAATGGCATTTAACTATTCATATGCATGTGCTTGTGTGCTTGAGAGAGCAGAAGAATAGTACATGCTTGTAGAAATATTGATTATCCACAATTTTTTTTTTTTTTTGAGAATGAATTATTATTGTGGATCTTAGAATATGTATTAATTATGCTCTCATAGCACATGCACATGAACATGCAGACAGACATGCATGCAGTATGCATAGGTGCATACTCACACACATCATTCATGCACACAAAAGATGACCGAGCCTAAGCAGCTAGCATAAACCAGCTGAAATGCATGCACACACACACATCATTCATGCATACTAGCATAGACCAGCTGAAACTCATAATAAGCCCTTTTCTTTCCCTCCAAAAAAACAATCATCTTCCCTTAAAGCATGGGTCCAACTCTTATAGAACTATTAAGCCTTGCTCTAACTGGAAATTCATAGCTTTATATAGCTTGTGATAAATTATTTATTAATGAAACATTCATATAT